CCAATCACAGACGAGCTTATACGGTTGGTTCACCTCGCTACTAGTTAATGGTTCCTTTCCGTTTATTTTGGTAGCATTTCCCAGAGCAGAGAGCTCTATTTCGTGACTGAAAGGACGCCTGTCCACATGCGCACACAGAAATCTCTCCAACCATTATTCGTTACTAGACAGCAGGAAGGTGATAAGGCTTAGATGCACAAAACTGCTTTGATTTGGTATGTTAGCTGGTCGGTTCTATTTTAACCTAATCCCTTCCTATTTCTCTGCAGTTCAGGTGTGAAATCACATTCTGTAGCCGACCTTTATCACGAAAGGTGAACAGAAATTCCGAAACGCGTTTTCAATTTGAAAGGATTCGGCGACGAATTGCCCTACAGCAACACCTCGTAGTTACATTGTTACATGCCTACTTCGAATCTTTACGTAGCTCCTATTACGCTGGCTCGCATTCTCTTGGGCAGTTAGGGACACAGATTTTGTGGGGTTTGTTTGGGAAATTTAGAATTAGAAATTTAGGGGGATGGAGGTATGGGGTGGGATTTAGAAAGTTTTGGATTATGATTTAGGACTGGGACCAGAGAATTTGCGTTGATGGGCGCGCCTGATTACAGCCGACATATTAGTTTGGTTAGATGCAGCTATGAATATATCATTCACGTGGTGTCCCTACTACATCCAACTGTTTATCTAGTAACGACTTCAACTTCCAACTTGTCCATGCATATATTCGACAAAAGCGAGCAAAAAGTGAGCCCATAGTTACTCCGTCAAGCATTCTGTAGGCGTTGTTATCAATTAGGAACAGCATCCTCATGGTACATCTTAATAGCAACCACTAAAGCAAATTCACTGGCTTTCCTATGTCCTGCTGATTCAATGTAGTGAATTCATAGATCTAGTTGACTATTTCTCTGATCGGCATTTTTGTTAAAAAGACGAACAATTCAGTGAAAATATCACTATGCCGTTCAGGTTAAGGTCTACCACGTCTTCGCGACTTCAAGGGCACCTCGGACGCTGTTTGACACTAGCTAATCCTTTCTGGGTTTGTTTGCTAGCCATTTTTCTATCGCATGGTATAGCGGGATCTTCATAGCTGAGATAAGACGAACAGATGGGCCTCCGGTAAGCTATATAATCGAGGTATATGCGGGCCTACGGAACGGAGACACTCTAGGTCACTTTCGTTTATGAAGCCGTCCTTTTGAAGTCTTTTTTATAACAAAATAAGTTCGGCGAAAATCAGTGTCTCCTGCTATCAGAAATATCCAAACTCTTTAATTTGAAGTAAGGCTGCACATTACAGCGTGATTCCTACTTATCTCCCTTAATTCTTCTCAATAAACCATTGATAGTATGCTCACCACCATCAGTATCGTCTGAGAACGTTTCCTGATTTCTTCTTAAGTTAGAAATTAACGTGATTGTTCGAGCAGTTTTTCTGACTTTCTCCTGCCCACTTTACGCGTCTAAGAAAAGGGCTAAATCAAAGTCGCATCATAGTCGACTATATTTTTACTACCGTTTTATATTAAGTAGGCTTTCAAACTTACTAACAGAAAGATTTAACTTTCATTACAGGTGATAACCAATCGATGTTTCAAACTCAGTTGGGTCCCTTGTCCCAACAACAGCAACAACATGGGATGCCAGTCCAGAGCAGTAACCCAATGCTACAATCGAGCAGCTCCTCTGGCCAAATTTCTGTCCCCATTTCACAGCAGTACCCGGGGTTCAT